GGCGTAAAAGGTATGTTGGGATGCCAAAAAGATGACGAGGCACACTGGATTAGAAGAAGACAATGTGAAACATCCAAAAGGCAGAGGCTGGGAGGTTTGAGATTGTCTTGGAAACGGTGAAGGGGAAAGACTGCGGATCAAAGACGCAAGCCGACGAAGTACCGAGACTCTCAACATGGCGGCGACGGCCCCTTCAGAATATATGACCACGCTACAGGCACACAAGTAGAATGAAAGTGAAGGAATAGTAAAAAGAGATATAGGAGACGAGCGAAGCAGGGATAGAAATGCGAGACTCTTTAGAGGATGAGGCACTTGGAGCTCTTCTTCTTCGTCCTGCTTAGGAGAGCGGCACGGGTGGCGTACTGGAAGACCTCGCGCACACCTTCGCCAGTCTTGGCGCTGCACTCAAGGTAGTGACGGGCACCAATCTTCTGAGCAACGGCCATACCCTTTCGGTGAAAGTGGGGTAAGTGGCGGCAAATGACAAAAGGGGTATAAGGCGGGGCGCTTACTTCCTCCGGGGTAACTGGTCTCTGGTTAGTTTTCCTTAGCTCATCAATAGTCTTGGGATCGCGTCTAAGGTCCTTCTTGCAGCCAACAAGAATAATGGGCAAGCCTTGGCAGAAGTGCATGACCTCGGATATCCACTGGGAGAGGTCAAAGAGGTGAGGCACTATGAATAGAAGAATAACGGATGGGCGCACCTTTTCCTGGACGTTGTCAAGGGAGTCGGGGCTGTCGACGGCGAAGCAAATGAGGATGACGTGGGAGTCGGGATAAGACAGGGGTCGGAGACGGTCGTAGTCCTCCTGGCCGGCGGTATCCCACAAGGCCAGCTCAACGTGTTTGCCATCAACCTCAACATCAGCAACGTAGTTCTCAAACACCGTAGGCACGTAGACCTATAATAAAAGGGATAAGCGCTCGGAACATGCGCACATGAGGCGTGGAGAAGAGAACGCGAGCTAGAACGAGATGCCAGTGCTGGAGAGGACAGCAAATTGGAATCGGAAGAACATCGCGAACGACCACGCCTACGGTGTAAAGAATAGGGAGAAAAGAAAAGGACGAACCTCTGGGAATGTACCCTTGGAGAAGACGATGAGGAGACAGGTCTGTGAAACGTATGGTCAGCATGCTGCAGGGCGTGGCGAGCAGTGGGGGGCACCTTTCCGCATGCACCGTCGCCGACGATGACAAGCTTGCGGCGGATTTCAGCAGACATGGTGGATGTTGTCGAGCGCGGGATGGGATGCGGGTCGGTGGTCGTCAGAAAGCGGCGAGGCTCGAGGGTAAAGAGGCAGACCAAACAGGGCTGTGAGTGGACCGTGCTTCTATCTCCGCCCCAAATTCATGCCCAAGCAGCCCCAAACACCACCCCCCGCACCGCAGCCAGCGCGAAGATCCGTGCGGCGCAGGGCAATATTCAGATATTCGCCCCTATAAATGCTGCCCCGCCTCCGCGAGTCACCTCCCGCTTGCCGCTTGCGGTGCAATCATTTCCACGCGCACCCGCGACGCTGGACATCCAGATTCCATATATACTTGGGCCACTGCTTTGAGCGCTACTTTGCCGACCTACAAGGCAACTTGAGGGGGCTATTAATATCTATTTGACCCACAAAGGTCCCTGTCAATGTCGGATCTGGAGGGGGAGGGAGGAGCTTGGCAGGCCTCATCCCCAACCAGACTCGGAATAGTCTTGCCAGAGTTGCATCTGAACAGTTCAAGCCAAGCACTCGTGTTTCGGCGCCTATAACTAGCTCTGGCGTGCCCTCTTGAGGCCAGCGGGCTTGCGTCCGGTTCGGTGTCACTCTAGGTTTTTGCTGGCAGTAAAAGGTCACTGGACGGGGGGCGGAGCACGTGTGTCTACACCATACAGCTGCAATGCGCAGCCGCTTCGCTCAAGAGATCTTTTGTCGTGGTGCTTTGATAAGTTCCCGTTACTCTTGAAAATGCCTACCTGTTTGCGATACAATGAGGCTTCACCGAAATCACCACGCTTCAACTAAAATCCACCAGAATTTATAGGAGATGCTCGACTCAACGCGGAAAGATGGCGCTGGCGCTCTTAAGCTATGGCGCGCGTGCGCGCTTGCAGCCCCTTTTCCGGCCCCTTATAGAATGCCCACACTTTCGAGCTCTGCAGACTTTTCTTTAGAATTCAGTCGCGATGTGTCCATACACATATCCGATATGGAGGATGTGTGAAAGGGGTTTGGGACCTTGGGAGCCAGTATCTAAATGAGGTGTGAGTAGAACCAGCTTATCAGAATGCCGGGTTTTAATCCTATTGCACTTTTCTGAGATATCCAGCAGGTAACCAAGAGACTTGCTGGGGCCACATACTTGGTTCTCGTACTTGACACCAAATACTTTCCGAAAAACGCCTATCTGCCCCGTATCGCAATATTCTCTGGCGATCGAATGATGCATCAACATGAAGCTAACCTTTGCCTCAAACTCGTTCGATCACCTACGTGCACCGCTACAGTCGCCACTTCTGCAGAGCCTTCTCACAATTGCACCATCCCTTCCGAGCCAGGATCAGGATTCCCTACTTCATGTCTGTGTGCTGTCCTGTTATTAATCTATATGCGCCATGCGACCCTCGGGCCTGGATAGCTGGGCAGAGGAACAGATCTTGGAGGCTCGCATCGGTGCATGGATTTAACCTAAGTACCGTAGTAAGCTTACATCTTCTGCTTTGACTCCGAAGAATGATGTCTCCTCCGAGCTATGCGAGAACACTAACATTTGATGAGAATACCTTGAGATACGGGTCGGCGTTCCTTCAAGCTTCAATCCCAAGGTAGAGTATCCAAGTTTCAAGGTAAGCTCGAGATTTTATGCGTTTTGAGTACCCACACATACAAATCTCCTCTCACAAGAGAGAACGTTAAGTCATTTGCAGAACTTTATGGCCTAGACTTGGTTTTGAGAAAATGTTGGGCGATCTATCCACTATACCTAGTATGTGCAAAAGAAGTCGAAGGCGAGACCACGACCTTACTCTCACTCTGCTCATAAAATCATTGACTATGAGCGCTGGTTCCATAGCGACCCATAGTACAACCACAGATACCAAGTACTGGCAGCTGTCAACGTTTCAACTCTGGCGATTTTAGAGTGGAAATACTGGCACTTCTTCGTCTCTCCATGTGAATCCTTGTGCGTCGCCAGGGTCAGTATGAATGCTGAAGAAATGCACCGAAGAAACCAAGCCCGGTGACCGACTGGTCCGACCCGATTCGGGCTCTCGGAGACGTGACAATGACAGGTGCACATGGACGCGCCCCTTGAACTTCTCCGCCAGCATCAATGTCGTTAATCACCAGCATTTCAACATCCCTCCACTAGTATGCCCCTAGCCATTAATTATTAACGCACATCATCTATTTAAAGGCAATTTCTTCGTCGACCTAATCATACGCTCCCTACGTTTTCCCGCCATGATCTTGGTCGCCCTCCTCTTCCCGTTGCTCCTGCTCGTCACCCGCATCTTCGCTATCCCCATCGCAGAGCGGAACGGCGTTGCCTTCATCCCACCAGCATCCAACGGGGGCAGTCAGCTCGATGAATCGGCCGGCCTGGGCGAGCCTTTGAATGTGCATATATGCTATGCTTTGTGGGCCCTACCTCCGAGAACTAACAATTATTCTTCCTAGGTCATTATCTCGGGCCTCTCGACCCCTTCTGTACTCACTAACGAGGGTATCGAGGATTACGCGCGGTACGTCCACTGGCGTCCTAGCCAGTATCTTAAACTAAATTGGTGCCACCGCTACTATTAGGTCCTTTGGGTTCTCTACCGAATGCCTCGGTTTTCACATCGGGGATAAACAGAAGTCTAATCTCGGAGATGGTCAAGGCTATCAAGATGAAATTGCTGTCATCAGACAAGACTTTGGGGACTCCACTTTGGGGACCTGTCTCGAGAGCTTGACCGGTATGCTCACTCTATGCATATGTATGCATGTCTTCACATCTTGGTTATCTAATTAGGCGGGAACCACTTTCGCTTTTGGAGGCAGTCCACTACTGGGGCATACTTTCTTGCGCAAGTCGTTTTATATTCGGATCCAGGCGGTGCATTCTCACTTTTTTACGTCCATCTTTTTCTAGTGCTTCGAAGGAGGAGGTACTTATGTCTGCCAGTCTCATCTTTAGCCTCCCTGATCTTATACCGCAATAGCCTGTTAGCCGGAACCATAACATCGTCCCCAACGGGTATGATCTCGGTCGCGACGCGCTTGTAAATGCTGCAATCGGCAAAACGAGCTACAATGGAGTCGATTATAGCACGACCGTCGAGTGGCTGACGGGATTATTGACACCCGGAAGCGAAGGTACGTATCCTTGGGTGCTCCTTTCATCATCATTTCTGAAACCAAGCTCATGGGCGACAATATACTGATTTTATGTACAGGGATCAATCACGGTGAGCCATCCCTTTCGAACTTTAGCGCGCATATGCTCAGCATCAAATCATAGGTATTGCAATCGATGGAAGAGTCGCGCTTTTGACCGTCACTGCGTCCTGACCTTTGCGCGTCGCGGCCAACTGGGAAACGGACCTCCAGCTGCTTAGCCTTTTTTTTATTGCCACGGACTTCTCTCTCACCCTCGTTTAGGCCCCCTCTTCAATCGGGATTCACTTTCATTTTTGCCAAGTAGCGCACGCTCTGATGGCTAGTACTCATCGGGGAGACAATAATTAATCATACGTCTGTTAATGACGTTACTCCTGGCTCTGCTCATGTGAAAGCCGCGCTGAAAACCGGACAGAGTGTGGATCGCTTGCAGCTCCGAAAGTCGCTGATCCAAGTACATCTTCCGGTCGTTGGTAGAATGGGGGTTCGATCATGATATGCCTTGACCTTGGGTAATGCTAAACCGTTCTTTCTCTATGCTAAAAGGGAAATTCCACCAAAACGATCCTCAGCTCAGAAAGGCACGCGCGGCAAGATCGTGTGCATGAAAAAAAGCAAAAATAATGCCCCCAGTCAGACTTGAACTAACGACCTTCGCATTGCTTACGAGTGCGACGCTCTACCACTGAGCTATAAGGGCGATGGGTACCCTGAGGGAAAGTTCCATTATAGAGTGTTGGTGCAGACGATTGTCATGTTATGCAAGTTCATTGGCGAGTAAATGTGGCAGCCATGCATTCATGTTCGAGCGCTCAAGTCGCCAAGTCCTTTGATGATTAGGCCTACTAACAGGCTTTGGCGCTAAATGCTTCACACTCAAATTTCGGGCTCAGTAAAGATCATGAATTGCACCCCGGTCCAGTGTTCAATGCCAAGGTATGTATCTACACGTTCGTCACCTTTGCTATTAGCGCCTAAGCACCTAGCATTGGAAAGCGAAAGATAGCGACAATTGACTCGGGATATGCGATTTACTCGTGAATGATGCAGGAAAAGCGCGCGTAAGGTGTGCGCTGCCCGCCACCGGTCCCCTGCCGCTCCCTCTTACTCGCTGATTCCTTGCAAGTTCCGCCATCTCCTTTTAATCCACTTCCCCAAACACCAGTTCACCACTGCCGATCTTCTGTTCGAACCAAGTCCACGTTCGCTCCCGCTCTTGTTGGCTCAAGTGCGCCAACGAGAAAGCGAAATACAGCTCGTGTAAGGGGGCTATACCAGGCACGCCAACGCGCGTTTCGATGAATCGTTTCATCGCGTTGAGCTCCAAGAGCGTAACGCGCCCTTCAACGCGCAACTCGGTGAGCTTGGGCATAGAATGGAGGAGGCCGCCCAAAAAGGTTGTATCGGGGTATGCTGCGGGGTGCATGTTACTCCCGATAGTGAGTGAGTGTACGTCCGACAGTCCGCTTAGCGCGCTGATGACGTCGTGACTTCGGGGGGAAATGAATCGGAGTCCGAGGGTTTGGACTCGGTTATTACGTTCGAAGAAGTATGTCATACTTTTGTCGGTCGCGGCGGATTCATTTGAACCAACGCGCAGCGTTCGTAGTGCCGGGGTTATAAGGTAATCGGTAATGAGTTTTTGGACAAACTCGGAGCAGGAGTCTATCGACAGCTCTACGAGTGCTGGCAGGATGAACAGGATATCTGAGGAGCCTGATATATGTTCGTTGCCAAGGCACACCTTGTCCAATTGCAGCACGTGTAGTTGCGTGCATGCAGCGAGGATAGCGCGCAACCGGGACACGGGGGTACTGAAGTCGATGATATCTTCCAGGATGAGTTGTGTAAGGTTAGCGAAGAGCGAGGTCGTGCGTGGAGGTCGAACTCGTTTGAAATGTAACTTGGTCAGAGCAGTGGATGCGGATAGGGAGAATAATGCCTTCTCGAGGTCGGCGTCTATGTATACGGCATGCATGTAAGCATACAGACACAGAGATCGCAGTTGGGGAGGGTCTGGCTGGCACTCGGCAAGGAATTGGGTGATGATTTGAGTTGCTTCGCTCGGGACGGTACACTCGAGTGTGAGCTCGCGCCACCTGTCAGCCGCAGGCAGCGCTATGGTGGCCGCGGAGATTAGATCGATAGTATGCCGGTTATGAGAAGTAGTGGTACCCTTGCTACTCTTTAGCACGACATCCATGCCACAACCCATGGACCTTGAGACGCACATTTTGGCGATAGGATAAGGCTGGTTGTCGAGAAACTCGATGGCACTCCAAAGAGTTCCTGTGCCCAGAGCAAGGTCCCGCCAGCGTTCACATACATGCGAGACAAGAATAGAATTTGCAATGCGAAGATATCCAGGCTTCGATGGAATTGCGTGAAAGATGTCGACGAGAATCTCGTCGGGAAGGTGGTGGATCGGGGCGATTGAATTGCATTGCTTATGGATTGAGGTAACAATGGGAAGTATGTCGTTTTCCAGCGCGCTCAACGCAGGGATCTTTTCCTCAAGCTGGGTCAGCGCATCCGCGATGTAGGTGTTCCGATATGGATCGGGAGTGTATGGATACGCGCCGCTGCGCTGCTGATCGAGAAGAATGCTGTTCAGCGATGAAATGGCACCCCGTACGGCGGCAACAAGGGTATCAAGATGACCCCTTAGATCTGAAATGGCTTCCGCTCGACTCATCGTGATGGTCCCTGGCGAAAACGGATGAGGCTTGAGTCGTTATCAGCGCTGCGACCGTAAGAGTACCAAGTTTTCAAGAATCGATGAGGAGAAGCAGAATTTGAAGACAACGCGCATAAGTATACGCAAAGTACACATTACGTAATACAGAGTTCGCTTCGAACCAATCGTTTGTACTTCACCACACACTACATACGAGTCGTTTCTCGGGTTTTTATATGCCGGTTAGGCGTGGATGACCCACTCAGTCGCATTCGCGCGGGCACTGGAATATCACGGTCAAAGTATCCGACTTCTCCCCATCGGTTTGATTGCGCAGATAGCACAACTGTCCCAGCCGGTAGCGGAGGTGAGTGCGCACGTTCCTCGCTTAGGGCTGCTTTTCTCGCTGAGAGTTCAGTAGCTGAGGTCCCAGTGAGTAAAAGTTTAGCGCGAGAGTGTTGATAAGTACGTAGCTCAGAAGTCGGGTCTTGTCTCTTAGCAAAGGGTCGGCCGAGGTGGCCGGTGAGGTCCCGGCGTTGAAAAAAATGCATCAGCCCACCTGAACATACGCAGCTTCTTAGGCTGACGAACACCCCCCCCCCCCCTATTTGCACAGCTAAAGAGGCTCAAAGCTTATCGAGCCTATGTCGGGATAATGTCATCAGCCTTCGATTTTCTAGACTGGGGGTCGGAACAGGTAAATAGGTGCCATGTTCATCGCGCGTCTGTGGGTATCCCCGGGTTGAAAATCTCAGCTGGGCAGGTTTATTTCTTTGTACTGACTTGTGACTCTGAACGCTTGCAATTGATAGTGGTGAACTGCTGAGGGGAGCCTACCGCACACTGGGCCAACGCGGTCTGGTCGACATGAATATTTTGATGCTCGTACTCTATCCGCTGAGCCGCGCTTTGGCTTGCTCGGAGCCATGGAATATCCAACTTCCAATCATACAACCGCTTAGGATCAGTCGGAGTCCCCCCGAGTTCCAGCTTCCAAGGTGCAGAGTCAAGAAGTATTCAAGTAAGGCCCTGTACAGAATGCCGACACAGCCAATATAGAATCCCGCACAGCGCACATGCGTTGGGGAATCATTGATTTCTGGTCACGTGGTGTACCTAGATCGGCGTTCATCCATCACGGCACCGTGTGGCTGCATGGGCTTCCATGGCTTCGACGACTCCGAAACATGTCGTCTTTCATCGCTGTGGGCTGTATAAATCACCCTCCTAACCAGATCAGGCTCTCCAGGATCTCCTCTGATACCCTCGTTGCCTCTGGCTATCCAGCATGCGCTTCACTTTCTTGCCCCTGTTCATCCTTGCATCCTGGGCCGCGGCTGCCCCAGTCGCGGAACGCGATGGTGTCGCGTATATTGCGCCTGCGTCTAATGGAGGCAGCCAGCTTGACAAGTCTGCCGGCCTAGGAGAGCCTTTGAACGCGAGTGTGCCTCGAAATTTAGCGAGATCAGGATGCTGACATGTCTCTCTGCACTAGATTATCGTTTCGGGCCTCTCTTCCTCCAAGGTACTGACCGACGATGGCATCAAAAACTGGGCTCGGTGTGTAATGGTTTTACACGTCGCGGGGGTTGCTTTACTAATTCGTGCTACTAGCTCATACGGGTTCTCGACCGAATGCCTCGGCTTGCATATCGGGGATAAACAACAAGCGAACCTTGGTGATGGCAAGGGGTACAAAGACGAGCTTGCGGTCATCAGACAAGACTTCGGCAATGTTGGCCTCGGGACTTGCCTAGAGAGTTTGACAGGCATGTGTAATGCGTTCATGTTTTATGGAAAACACATCTCAGCCTCTCTGAATGCGCAGGGGGCAATCACTTCCGTATGTGGCGTCAAGAAACGACGGGCGCGTACTTCCTTGCGTGCGTCTTGCCCACCATATTAGCCATCCTGTTTGTTGTCCTTAACAACCTTTAAACGATACCTCTAGTGCATCAAAAGAAAAGGCATGTCTTGGCTGCACCATGCCGAGTTGACCGGTGTTGCTAATCTCCCGGATAGCCCGCGTCCAAGAATCATGACATTGTCTCCGACGGATATAACATTGGCCGCGATCAAGTTGTGGCTGCTGCGACTGGCGACACAAATTACAAGGGGGTTAAATACCATACTACGGTTGAGTTCGTGACGGGACTGCTACCTGTCGGAAGCGACGGTGCGTCTTCGTTCTGTCCGCATATTTTCTCATAAGGCGTGTTCTAACGGGTACGCTCATATATAACGAAACAGGAATCAATCACGGTAGCGTCTTTTTCTCCCACCCTGAGAATGAATCTTTGTGACTGACCATGTCACACCTTGCCAGGGATCGCCTTAGATGGGAGGGTCGCAGTTTTGACAGTCACTGCGTCCTAGATATTCTTTAAGTTATCGACGATTCTGAAGATTATAGTCACGGCTTATGTACTTTTGTCGCCTCTGGAGGCTGAAGAACGTTGGACGATAAAAATACAAACTACAGCGCAATGAACGGAATGGCCAGAGGGTGAATTACGTAATGGAAATCCTCCTCGGATACCGCTGCGACTCACCATCAAGAGCCTTACCGGCTTGTCGTTTCGCTTCACACCAGCTTGATACGAGCGTCTCAGAGACGCTATATAAGAATACCAAACATCAATACCAGTTCTCTCCCGCACCCCATACTACGCGGGTGAAAGCCGAAGGGTCACTAGCTCTGGTCGTGTATGAAGCCTGTGAAATGCCTCTCGATTCGCGGACAAGTAATCGGTAAATCATGTGCTCTGTGATCCTTCCTTGGCCTCCCTTCGTCTGGTCTCAGCCAGCATCTCTACAGACCACGCGCTCCAGGATCTTATTCTAACCAGGTAAATGTGTGCGAGGAAGCAGTGCTGTTCAGCGCGGTTTGTGGCACTGGCGATTAGAACCCATATTCCTAGCGCACTTACGTCTTGGCAATTTAAGCACCAGTTTATCGGTCTATATATGGTACTTTCCGGCGGCAAGTACTGATCCCGTCGGTCTGAAATCCGATTTTGCAG